CTCAAGATGGGTGTGCCGAAATGAAGATTCGGTGGAGCTCCATGTGGGGCCAGGGCCACGATCCTCGGTGTGTGCCGAAATGAAGCTTCGGTGGAGCTCCCTGTGGGGCCAGGGCCACGATCCTCCAAAGGTGTGCGCCGAAATGAAGCGTCGGTCCAGCTCCCTGTGGGGCCAGGGGCACGATCCTCGAGAGGTGTGTTCCGAAATAAAGCTTCGGTGGAGCTACATGTCGGACCAGGGCCGCAACCCTCGAGAGAGAAGTTCCGAAATGTAGCTCCGGTTAAGCTCCCTGTGGGGCCAGGGCCACGATACTCGAGAGGGGTGTACCGAAATGAAGCTTCAGTGGAGCTCCCTGTGGGGCCAGGGCCGAGATCCCCAGGAGGGGTGTGCCGAAATGAGGCTTGGGACGAGCTCCCTGTGGGGCCAGGGCCACGATCCTCGAGAGGTGTGTTCCGAAATGAAGCGTCGGTCCAGCTCCCTGTGGGGCCAGGGCCACGATCCTCGAGAGGGGTGTGCCGAAATGAAGCTTCGGTGGGGTTCCCTGCGAAGCCAGGGCCGCGATCCTCGAGAGGGGTGTGCCGAAATGAAGCTCTGGTGGAGCGCCCTGTGGGGCCAAAGCAACAATCCCGTGGGGAGGTCCACCGAAATGAAGCTTCGGTGGGCCTCCCTAAGGGGTTGTTGCTGGTTGTTGGTTGCTGGGGGGGGCCGGGGCCACAACCCCCGTTTGTTCCAACAACAACATCAACATCAACATCAACATCAACAACAACAACAACAACAACAACAACAACAACAACAACAACAACAACACCAACACCAACACCAACACCAACACCAACAACAACAACAACAACAACAATCATTTTACCCGAACGCTCAGTGTTCTCCCCAGTGCCAGGGTTTTCTTGCGACACCAGCCAATACCCCCACTTCGTGGGGGGGCCGTTCAAGCTCTACCAAATATCCAAACGACTCTTCGAGACCACCCACACCCAGCTTCCCGCCCTATGACGTTGGGACACTTCACTTCGTGGCGTGCGGACGACCCTGGCTACTACACTGGCGTGGGGTACACACCCACAGAGGTTGATCACATCTGTTACATATGATGTGGTACACGGTACACGTGAGATGGTACGCAGTGCCAAGATAGTTGGTCACATTTTTGGGGCAAATTCGTGGGGATGCGATTACAGAAGTACATGTGTTACACTGATGTTATACAGTCCCAAGGATGACGCATGCATTGCTCATAGACTCATGGCATCGGACCACTAGAACGCCTCCTGGGGCCATCTTGGGGGTCTCTTGGAGCCACCTTGGAGCCTCTCTGGAACCTCTTGGGGGCCTCTTGGAGTCCTCTTGAAGCCTCTTGGGACCATCTTGGGCGCCTCTTTGGGCCTCATGGACGCCTCTTGGGGCCATCTTGCGCGCCTGTTGGGGCCATCTTGGGTTTTAAAGATTCATCAAGAGACCGCGAATGGATTTCGAGATTTTTCGGATGAGAAAGTAGTGCGTTTTCATATGTTTTCTGAACATCGCATCTTGAAATTATTGAAAACCCATTGTGTTTGGCAGGATTTCGACATGCGCGCGCGGCGGCCGCGCGCATGTGCACTTCGTCTCATTTTTTGCAAGGGATGGTGGCCCTCGCAGGCGCGCAACCGTTGTTGGAGAAGTTCAAAGCACCTGAAGAAGTAGCACGCAAAGACCCTTTTGACAGAAATGTTTAAAAAGTGGTGTGTTTCCTATGAATCCGCAAGAGCGCGCGGAAGGACATTTTGACAATTTTTTCTTAAAAAACCATTGGGTTTTTGATGTTTTTATGTTAAAATCGCTACGAAACCTAAGGTTTTGGAAGGATTTCGTCTTGCGCGCACGAATGTCCACTTTACCTTATTTTTTGCAAGGGATTCTTGCAATTTGATCAAGTAAGAACAAGAATTTTCATTTTATAGTGTTTTTTGCAAGGGAAAACGGCGTCAACAAAACAACCGGATCCGGTGACAATCCACTTTTCTGAAGCTTTCGCTAGAAAATGAAGGAAATGAGGCTGCGGCCTAGGTTTTGGAGGGGGGTCGCGCACCAGGGGTCTCAACAATAATATTTCTTTAGAAGTAATAATATTCAACAACAACAACAACAACAACAACAACAACAACAACAACAACAACAACAACAACAACAACAACAACAACAACAACAACAACAACAACAACTACTACAACAATGATCATGTTACGATTGTTCGCTCTTATCTGCCCGAATGTCCGTCAACGCGTATTTCCCAAAACCTCGATGTCCGCCCTCTTCGTCTTCGATCGTACCCCTTTTGGGGGGTATACCTTTCTTCCCTGCAGGCCGGGCCCTGGCAAGCGGCGGGGCGGCCGCGGACCGTCGGCCTGGCCAGCAGCAGCGCTGATCGGCGGCAATCTGATCGGCGGCAATCTAGCGGCAGCGCTAATCGGACGGACAGGGGACCGACCACGACGACGACGACGACGTCGACGACGACGACGTCGACGACGACGACGACGGCGACGACGGCGACGACGACGACGACGACGAGCGAAACCGAAAGCGAGAGAGAGAGAGAGAACGACAGCAGGGCCACGAAGGGCACGAAGTAAGCCACGAAGGGCGACAGCGGGGACACGAAGGGACTGCGTATGGAGCCACGAAGAGCACGAACGAGCGGGAGCCACGAAGGGCAGATAGTGCGGGGCCACAAAAGGCAACGACGGGGCCACTGAGGGTAGCAACTGGGCCACGTAGGACAGCGAGGGGGTCACAGAGGGCGACAGCGGGACCACGAAAAGGCATGCACATGGGGCCACGACGGGCGCGAACGAGCGGGGGCCACGAAGGGCACACGTATATTGGGCAGCGGAAAGCAAGGACGGGGCCACTGAGGGCAGCAACGGGGCCACGAAGGGCAGCGAGGGGGCCACAGAGGGCGACAGCGGGGCCACGAAGGGCATGCACATGGGGCCACGAAGGGCGCGAACGAGCGGGGGCCACGAAGGGCATACATATATGGGGCCACGAAGGGCAGCGAGGGGGCCACGAAGGGCTGCAACGGGGCCACGAGGGGCACCGAGGGGGCCAGAAAGGACTGCAACGGGGCCACGAAGGGCAGCGAGGGGGCCACGAAGGGCTGCAACGGGGCCACGAAGGGCAGCGAGGGGGCCACGAAGGGCAGCAACGGGGCCACGAAGGGCAGCAACGGGGCCACGAAGGAATGCAACGGGGCTACGAAGGGCAGCGAGGAAGCCACGAAGGGCTGCAACGGGGCCACGAAGGGCAGCGAGGGGGCCACGAAGGGCTGCAACGGGGCCACGAAGGGCAGCGAGGGGCCACGAAGGGCTGCGACGGGCCACGAAGGGCAGCGAGGGGGCCACGAAGGGCTGCATCGGGGCCACGAAGGGCAGCGAGATCCCGATGCCTAGGTAATCTGTGAGGGAGTCCTAAGCGTGAGCGCAACTCCTGGGTGCCTGGGTGTCGGGAGCGCGGCGCTTGAGTAAATTGCAAGAAACTCCAACGCAAGGGCGCTATTCGGCAGTAAATTGCAAGCAAGTCTCCAGCGAGAGCGCGACTCCAGAGCGCCGGGAGAGCGATTCCTGAATGAATTGTAGGAAAGTCCCATGCGAGAGCGCGTTTCCTGAATAAAATGCTAGGAACTCTCGGGCGGGAGCGGGGGTCCTGGCTTGAAAGGAAATCTCAGGCGGGAGCCGTTGTTGTTGTAACCCGGGGGCCAGGGGCACAGTTTGAGCATCAAGACTTTCCCTGTCAGAAAACAGGGTGCGAGCGTCGAGGGGCACACTTTGATTGAGAAGAAACAACATGCACCGGTGGGGGGGGATCGACAAAAAATATTCTGCATAAATGAGAATTCAACAACAACAACAACAACAACAACAACAACAACAACAACAACAACAACAACAACAACAAAACAAGCAAAGGGCGGTGCCCAGAGCTCGGGCGCCCCGTGCATAAGAAGGAGGCTTCCCCCGGGCTTTCCCCCAGGACCCGCGCTTCATCCCGAGTCGCTTTTTGACCAGACCCCGGGGTCTGGGGAGGGTGTCTGGAGTGAAAAAGCGTCGAGAAGCTCCAGGATGCACAAGACCCTCAATGTCGCATCAGCCAAGAGACGCCCAGGACTGCGGGACTACGCTGGATTCAGCGGGACTAGGCAGGATCAATCCGGAATAAGCGGGGCTGTTCCAGGCTAGACTATTTTCGGCCATGAATATACCAGCGCCGATGCTGAATTTCACCTCCCAGGAGTTGCATCCTAAGATGGCCCGCTTCACCGGCGACACGAGGAGCCTGCAGAGGGACAACCCGGCGAACAGCACGAGGCATCAGTCGGGGGAGAGGGCGGTCGGAGGTTCGCTGGCTGGGGGGCCAGGAGTCTTGGGCCGCCCAGCCACCAGCAGAGGGAAGAGGGGGGGGTGAGGATGAGGGGTTCGGTTCGGTCTGGTCTTCCTCGACGGCGCGAGTCACAGCTTATCACTGCCAGGCGGATGCTACTCCCAAGGGACGCGACAGCCGAGGTAAGCCCCGAAGCGGCTGAAGCTTGACCACAAGAGGGCATCAAAATTTACGCATGAGAACTGCACAACCGTCACGACCGCTCGTCACAAGTATCTGCCAGCAAGGGCTCTACGCAAGAACGCACAAAGCACGGAGGCGAAGACGAGAGAGATGAGCGCGCCAAGGCGGCGCACTTCATCCTGCCCCCTTCTTCTTTCCTCATATCCTCTCCTCTCCTGCCTGTTTTCTCCTCTGCACTCATCTGCTCTCCTCTCGCCTCTATCCCTCTTCTCTCCTGTCCTCTCCCTGCTCATTCCTCTACACAATCTTCATTCAATCATACGTCTCTCGTCCTCCTCCCGGGAAGTAATTGGGTCAGAGAGCGACGACAAGAGAGGAAGGAGACGAGGCGGGTGGGCGAGATGGCGGGCAGGCAGGCTGGAGGATCAGGTGGTCGTCGCCGTCAGACTGGCGACGGCACCAGGGATCTCCAGGAACTCCTGCTCATAGTACATGACGACCAAGAGCCTCGCCACAAATGGGCGGCTGAAAGAAATGGATCCCACGCGAAAGAACGCGTCAACCTCACGCGAAGGCTTACGCAGACCACCAGCACAGCTCACATTGTGGAAGAGGGGAAGCTTACGCGCGGCATTATGCGCGCAGCTTTCGCGCGATCGTCCTCGCAGTCGATCCACCTTTTCCGAAGCTTGGCCTCGCACGAACAATTGTGGGGCGAAGGGGCGGCCTTATAACAAAACACCCAGCCTCGAAGAATTCATCTTGCTTTCTAGGAAGCTTCCACTGGGCTGGGAAGCTCAGAGAAAGCGTGATCCACCGCCGCTTTCCTGTGGAAAATTCCCCCCCCCTCTTCCTCCGAAACCCCGGGGTCCCACCCACCCCCTTCCGAAAATTCCCCCCCCTGCTGGACCCCCCCCCACCCCCTCTTCCCCCCAGCACCCCCCCCCCTAACCCCTCCCCCCCCGGGAAACCGGGGAGGATCACTACCAATTCGAACGCCCCCCCCCCCCTCCGGAAAACCGGGGGGTGGTATCACTACAGGTTCGAACCCCACCCCCCACCCTCCAAAAACCCGGGGGGATCACTACCGGTTCGAACCCCCCCCCACTCCAGAAAACCGGGGAGGGTCACTCACTACCAGTTCGAGCCCTTCCCCCCCACTCACCGCTGGCAAACGACTCCCGGGTCCCCACCACCGTCCGCACCACATCCCCCACTGCTGTCCCCAGAACAACTGTCTCCACCACCACTGTCCCCACTGTTCCCACCACCGTCCCCACTGTCCCCACCAGTGTCCCCACCACTGTCGCACTGTCCCCACTGTCCCCACTACTGTTCCCCCCACTGTCCCACTCTTCCCGCTTTCCCCACGGTCCCCACCACTGCCCCACTGTCCCCACTGTCCCCACTGTCCCCACTGTCCCACTGTCCCACTGTCCCCGCCGCTGTCCCACTGAGCTGCCCAACTGTTCCCACCAGTGTCCCCACTGTCACCACTGTCCCCACTGCACCTCTGACCCATTGTCCCACCACCGTCCTCGCCACCGCCCTCACCACTGTCCCCACCACCACTGTCCCCACCACTATCCCACTGTCCCCACCACCACCGTCCCCACCACTGTCCCACAGTCCCCACTGTTCCCACCATTGTCCCCGCTGTACCCACCAGTGCCCCCACCAGTGTCTCACTGACTCCCGGGTCCCCACCACCGTCCGCACCACATCCCCCACTGCTGTCCCCAGAACAACTGTCTCCACCACCACTGTCCCCACTGTTCCCACCACCGTCCCCACTGTCCCCACCAGTGTCCCCACCACTGTCGCACTGTCCCCACTGTCCCCACTACTGTTCCCCCCACTGTCCCACTCTTCCCGCTTTCCCCACGGTCCCCACCACTGCCCCACTGTCCCCACTGTCCCCACTGTCCCCACTGTCCCACTGTCCCACTGTCCCCGCCGCTGTCCCACTGAGCTGCCCAACTGTTCCCACCAGTGTCCCCACTGTCACCACTGTCCCCACTGCACCTCTGACCCATTGTCCCACCACCGTCCTCGCCACCGCCCTCACCACTGTCCCCACCACCACTGTCCCCACCACTATCCCACTGTCCCCACCACCACCGTCCCCACCACTGTCCCACAGTCCCCACTGTTCCCACCATTGTCCCCGCTGTACCCACCAGTGCCCCCACCAGTGTCTCACTGTCCCCACTCTCCCCACCATTGTCCCACCACGGTCCCACTCTCCCCGCTTTCCCCACGGTCCCCACCATTGTCCCACTGTCCCCACTGTTCCCACCACTGTCCCACTGTCCCCACTGTCCCCGCCGCTGTCCTACTGTGCTGTCCCACTGTCCCCACTGTCCCCACCACTGTCCCACTGTCCCCACTGTCCCCGTCACTCTCCCCACTGTGCTACTGTCCCACCACCGCCCTCACCATCGCCTTCACCACTGTCCCCACCACTACCGTCCCCACCACTGTCCCACTGTCCCACTGTCCCCACCACTGTCCCGCTGTCCCCTCGCCACTGTCCCCACCACCACCGTCCCCACCACTGTCTGTCCCACTGTCCGCACCACCGTCCCACTGTCCCCACACCACTGTCACCACCACCACCGTCCCCACCACTGTCCCAGTATCCCCACCACTGTCCAGCTGTCCCGAGGACCGGGAATCGTTTGCCGACAACGAGGGGGGGGGGTCGAACCGGTAGTGACCCCCCCCTTTTCATGATGGACTGGGGGGGGTGGGGGGTTCGAACCAGCAGTGACCCCCCCCGGTTTTCGAGGGGGGAAGGGGTTGGGAACCCCCAGTGACCCACCCCCGGTTTCCCGCCAGCAGCGGTAGAACACGCTCTTTCGAAGCTCAGAATGACTATGTGTGATTGCGCTTGCAGGCCGCTGCCCCCCTGGGGGAGCAAGGCGGTGAGGGTGCTGCTCGACCGCACTCTTGCTGCTGGTTACACGTCGGTCGGAAGAAGTAGGTAAATACATAGAGTAGGCAGGCGGATAAAGTGGATTGGGTCAAGGCCCTCCCAGAGAATAGCAAAACACAGCAAAAACGTGTCGATGCTTGAAGTAGGAAGGCGCTTGAACTAGCTTGGGATCTGGGAGCCCAAAAAATATATGTTTTCAACGACCGGCGTGTACTGCCGTCTTCACGCTTCTCGTCCCGTCCCTCCAGTCATTCCTACCTTCCACTGTCTACCATCGGCGGCGAACCCAGGTGGGAAGCGAGAGAGAGGGCGGGCCTTCTCGGAGGGCGGCGGGGCTTCTCGGAAGCCCTCGCGCCTCCTGAGAAGCCTGAGAAGCCCGCCGCCGCTGGCTGAAAAAGAACTGCCTCCTCTCTTCCCCCCGATAGGCTCGACGCCGATATGTACGGATACTAGGGGGCCCGCGGCACCAAAGAAGAGAAAGCTGGGGGAAGATCAGCCTCCTAATCACTCTGCATTGCTCCGAGATTCCAGCATGGATGTTAAGGGTCCAAGAGGCCTGCGGAAGCGCTCCAAGAGGGCCCAAGGAGATACCCAAGAGCTCAAGACGGCCGAAGATGGCCTCAGGGCGGCTCAAAGTCGGTCCACCAAGAAGGCCACAAGAGACTCTAAGAAGTCCACAATGCGTGGAACAAGTAACATTGCTCGATAATTTCTCTTTAGCCACCAGCTTTCCTCCCAAGGTACCCGCAGATGACATCAAGACAGCCCCAAAGGCTCCAAGATAGCTCCAAGATTGCTGAAGAGAGCCCGACCTCTGAGGCCCCAAGACACCGCCATCATCGCCCAGGACAGCCTAGAGAGACCCCGCATCCCAGAATGCCCCAAAAAGTTCCCAAGATGGCCCTCAGACGCCCCCTGATAGCCAGAATATTACCCAACGAAGCTCGAAGTGGTCCCTGGAGGCCCCAAGATGCCCCTAAGAGACTCGAGATGGCCCAACAACCCTCCAACAAAAACCCAAAGCGACCCGAGAACACTCCCAAGATGGCTTCGCCAGGGGGGCCGGTGACAAAAGGCGCAGCCCTTCTGAGAACACATTGAATACCAGGGGCAGCAGATACACGCGAAAATGTACACGAATCAAGTAAAGATGGGCGCGAAGACAATTTCGTCACAGCCCGAGGCACGGGATCTGGCCGAAGAGGCTGTTCAGAAGGGTTGCCGCAGTCATGGAGAGGTCCACTGGATCCTGCAACCCGGGTATGCTCAACGGGCACGAGGCATCAGCCCGAGTCCTCGTGAAAACGGAGGGATGGGCAGGCGAAGACAGGAGGGACGGCGACGCGCGAGGACAGGAGAAGCGAGGCGGGTGTCGCAGATCTGAGGCGTGCGGTCCGGAACGGGCGAGGTGCGGAAGCCTGATGCTCAGAGACGACGAGGCATGGACCACTCGCCATGCCCGGCGGACGCCCCAAGGGCCGAGCCCCTACCCCGAGCCATACCGATGGAGAGTCCACGCACCCTTTTCACGTCGGCGGCCAGGCAGAGTGACTGCGCTGGCGGAAGAGCACTGGTAGGGCATAGGAAGGCGAATCAGGCCGCAGTGCACGGGGGAGAGAGGAAGGACGCCCTGGCGCGGGCAGGAGGGAGAAGGAAGCTGGGCCCGCTCAGAGCGGGGCCAGGCTGGGGCTGGGGCGGCGCGGCAGGTCCGCTCCCTCCTGGGCGCGCCCTCCCTCCTCCTCCCCCTCCCCGCTCCGGCGCCATTCCACGCCACCCGTGCCAGCCGCTAGAACCACGCGGCGCGAGCTCATCCTCCCTCCTCCCGTCCCGTGGCGTCCACTTCCTCGGGGAACCTTGGGCAGGGTTTGGAACGGCAGACATGGACGGGGACGATGGAAGGTGAGAGGAAGGAGGACGGGGAGGGAGCGGGCATAGGCGAGAGAGGACGAGGACGAGACAGAGGCATCTTCCATCTCCTCGTCCTCCTCCTCCTCCTCCTCCTCCTCCTCCTCCTCCTGCACCTTCTCCTGCAACTCATCCTGCAACTCACCCTCATCCTTCTCATCCGCCCCCCTCGTGACATCCCCTGGAGACGATCATAATAAAGTACAGTGTGCGTGTGCGTATTATTGTAGTACACAATGAGTTTTTCGGGCCCCCGTCCCCCTCACCATTTCCCCATCCCGCCTCCTTCAGTGGGCGTGGGGGGGGCGGGGGTGCAGCGTGTCTGGAAGAGATGTGGCAAAGTTCTGGATATAACACGTTATATGGATGTGTTCTCCGCTCAAGCTTCTTGGCTCAGCCTCAGGCGCGTATGCAAGCGCCCGAGGATTTCGCCGTATTCACTCCTCGTACCGCGCCCTCCAGTGATAGCGCGGTCTCTAAGGGCTCGTCATGGGAGCTCGTCAGTTCGACGTGTTCGGATGAAGCTCTTGATTAGCAGGTGGGGAGCCTGCTGGACTTAGAGGAGTCGAGCGGCGGTACGGCGAAGTTGCTCGGCCCCTTTAGCCTGCTGCTGTAGACGTTCCTCTCCGTGGTGACCGACCCTGTGAGTGACGACATCGAGTTCGAGCCAGAAGGCGTTCTGGAAGTTCAGATGCCTGTTGAAGTATGGAGTCGTCGGTTCTATCGCCAGACGGTCACGGATGATGTGGAAGTTCAGCTCGTGCGGAGGAATTCAGGCAACAGCTGGTCATCACTCTGGACCTGGTGAAGATCACGGCGAAGACTACCATTATTTCGGATGCGGTCCCTGGGATCAGGCAGCGTCCGATGCCGTGCTCAGTGCCGCTCAGAAGGAGACGTACCAGACTCAGGCGACGCAGGCGATCAGGTCTCAGACAGTGCAGCCTCTGCCACTCTACCGCTTGTGACGGGCCATTCAACAAGCGATGGCAGCCGATTTCTTCTATGTGATGGTGATCTCTTGCCGATCGTCTCCACATACTGTGTAATTGTCTCTGAGAAGTCTTGCTCGGTTCTTGGGACTGCTGGCGGCTATGTTCGTGCTCTACACGTGCCTAAGGGTAGTCGGTGTGATCGACTACGCGTTGGAGGTGTGGGTGGCCACGGTCGGTTACTGCACTTCGGCAAAGGACACGTGTATGGAGAGCTCGGCGTGCAGGAGTGGATGGTCTACCTCGGCGAGTGAAGGAGTGGACCCAGCGTTTGATGCCTCTCCAGAGGTGGTTGGCGTTGGTGGTGCCGCTCAGCCTGATCGCGGCGTGGGGTGCTCAAAAGATATCCGAGCCAGCTGTGCCAGGAGTCGTCAGTGGTGTCATCATCTACCCGTTCGGTTGCTGGGGAATTGCCCACGAGCGCGGCCGGCCACCACGCGATCGATTGCAAGCCGAATTTGGGCTGCCATGGCACGACAGCGCGACATCCTGTCCGAGGTCGACCATCATCGAGCTCGCGTCGAGATTTAACAAGGTGGCGAGAGGAGGTGGATGCTCTGCGAAGGGCCAATCGTTGTCTACTGGTTTTAAGTCAGCTGTACCACGGGAGCCTGACCAGGGGCCCATTCTACGCGTGCTGGAGGTTCGTCGCTACCCACCGCCGCCATCGTCGCCCTTCCAAGGAGCTGCGATCCTGCGGCTGCGTCCTGCCACTTCGGCGTCGGACTGTCCATCAGGGTCGACCTTTTCCCGGAGGTTGGCCGTGCTGGTGAGGAGGCGAGCCGGGGGCAGCAACCGTATGCCGGACAGGGACGAGACGTTTGCCGCCCGTTGGGAGCGAGTTGCTCCACCACCTCCAGGCTCGAAGCCAGTGATTGCGAGGGCTGTGTCGCCCAGGATGGACAGAAATTGACAGAAATTAGAGGAGTCCAAGACGGATATGTTGAGGGAGAACGGCGGAGAGTGCTAGCAGGCGTCCGAGGTGAAGAACCATGTGGAACCGCAGTTCCGTCGAAGTAAAGAGATGCTGCAGCTGGCTCGCCGGATGGCGGAGGCGGGCATCTGTGCAGGACGAAGAGACGGTAGACGAGGTGGGGATGTTTTGCGTGGTGAAGAAGAAGGCCGAGTTCGTCGAAGGCAAGCTCGTGGTCGCGCTGCGCCTGGTGTTCGACCGGCGTCGTTCGAATGCGCGCTGGCGGCAACCGCCCTGGTGTGCTATGGGCGGTGTCAGCGCCATGTCGTTCTTGAACATGTCCGAGGAGGGCACCCGCATGAGCTACGCCACTGGGGACCGACTCGACTTCTACTACTCGCTGTAGATGGGCGAGGAGCTGACCCCCTACTTCGTGCTGCCTGGCGCCCGCGCGGAGGAGCTGCAGACGCTCCTGTCGGAAAAGTTCAAGCTATCGGGACAGGGAGTTCGCGGGCGTGAGGGTGGCGCTGATGGGGTTCTCGTGGGCGTGCTGGATAGATCAGACCACGATGGAGGACCTGTCCAATGCAGGGCCCACCAGCGGGTTCACGACCCTTGGACCAGAGTGGCGACTCGCCGAAGGAGGAGAGCTACCACTACTGACTCGAGATCGTCCTGCAGCCCACTACCAGTACATCGACGACTTCGGTATCATGGGTCGATCTCGAGGCGGCCCCTAGACGATAACCACCGATAAGCGGGTTCGAATGAGCTGGGCAAGCGGCAGGCTCAAAGGTACACAAGGACGGGTGCGCATGATCGGGGGCGACTTCCAAGGCACGCGCCTAGCACCCAATCAGGACATGATGTGGTTGGCGGTCGGCGGCATCATAGCTATCCTGGAGCAAAGGGTAAGCTGGACGTCATCGCGCGGATCGTGGACATCCTATGCTGGGACTTCTTGATATCCAAGGGCAGCGCTCAGTGTGCTCGCGGAGGTGTACCAATGGTGCATGGAGTTCCGAGGCGGAGCCCGACGATCAGGGCCCAACGAAGTGCTGCGGGAGCTGGCCGCAGCGGCGGCCGCTGTACTGCTGACCTTCGCGGACCTGTCCGTGCCGTGGGGCCCTACAGTGAGGATACTCGATGCCAGCCTGCACGCGGGAGCAATCATGGCGACTCGGAGCGACGCGGAGGAGCAGAGGCGCGAAGCCAGGTTCGCGATGCTCGGAGGCTGGAAAGCCTGGACGGGGATCTCATCATCATGGGCTGGCGATACCTGGGCGGAGGGCGAGGCTTACAAGTGCGTCACCGAGGGGTTCGAGCCAGGCACCCAAGTCCGCGCGCCGCCGGTCCACGCCTTCTGGGACGACGACAGGTCGAGGCGGAAGGAGGTGGTCCGATTGAAGTGGGACGAGAAGGAGCGCATCAACTTGCTGGAGATGAGGACGGGCCTCACTGCAGCTCGCGCCACTTATTGCGATCAAGAGCGAGCTGGTGCCGACGACACGACACCTGGGGATCACCGACTGCATGGTGTGCCCAGGCGGCTTCAGCACGAGACGGTCAGCAGGTCGGCCGATACTCATAGTTTGCAGGCGCATGGCGGCGCTAGACCTGGGCTGTGGTACGAGGGCGCAATGGAAATGGGCACCATCAGATCGAAACCACAGCGACGGACTCAGCCCTGGGTTCCCGACAGGTCAGGCGCCGAATGAGAAGTCGAGCGAGAAGTGTGTGTTGCCACAGTCCGTCGCGGAGGCGGTGGAGGTGCTCGCAGATTTTGCCGAGGAGGATCCGTTCGAGCCCCTGAGGGTGGGGATGCCCGTGCCAGTGAAGGTTCTGCGCTTCATGCCCCCATACAGTGGGCATACTCGCGAGGGGGACTTGGAGTTCTGGTAACGTGGACCTCGGGTTCGGGGCGGAGTTCGACCTGACCGACGAGATCAACGCGAGGCGGATGGAGCTGCTGGCCGAGCTGGAGGTGGCTGTGGCCATTCAGGAACTTCGTGTTCGACGTAGTTGCGGGTGCGCTTTCAGCTGGGAGGCCCACCACCACCGCGCCCACGCCATCAACTTTGGGGACGTCCAGGGTTACGAGGGACCGATCTGAAGAAGGTCCAGCTTGGGAACGCGCAGTCGTTGGGCAGCATGCGAATCCTGAAAGCGATAGGACGGAGGCAAGGCTCAGTATCGATCGAGCATCCCGCCGATCCGGGTGTGCCACCGTTTCCTTCGATGTTCATGACCAAGGAGGCGCTGGAGTGGGAAGCCGAGCTGGGAGCCCGACGAGCATCAACTCCCCGGTGCATGCGGTGATGCCAGGCGCTGAAGCTGACGACGATCACGGGGACGGCAGCTGGCCTGGAGAGGTTCGAGAGGCCCTGCGCCCACGAGAAGCACTCAGGAGGCATGTTCGGC